TCTCAATCTACATTAGTCATACACGTAACCCCCAAAGTCTTACATGTTCCTTTTTTTGTAAAGATTTTTTTTTTAAGATTCAAAATGAGGTAAAAAAAAAAAAMCTCTTTCTGTGTTAACTTTACTGCATATGCTTTCACTTCTTCTTATGAATTTCATTTCTGAATGTATTATTGTACTGGATGGAAAAGCAACTTTTTCATTCCTTTCTCCATCTCATCCTTTTTTTCTGCAGATTCATACAAATAGCCAGCAAGCCAGCAAACAGTGACCAAAATAAACTTTTATATAGTACTCTGAAAGAGTTAATCCAAAATGTATATTTTAAAAAAAAATCATACTTTTTAACTTGCTTTTTCAAATTTCTCTGTAAAGAGAAATGAGAKAAGTATCATTTGTCTTCCAGAAACTTAGTACTTGAACAATAAAATGCAGAAGTAGGAGAATAATTATTGCATGTGAATAATTGTGCTGAGTATTTCCTAATTTGCATATTTGATGCTAYATCAAAATATATTACAATGCAAACAGTGGGATTTGAATGTAGAAAAATTTCTTTTAATTAGAAAAAAACCCTTTTTATTCTGCTTTGTATAATGCCTATCAAAAATACATATTTTTGTAAAATCTACACTTTATTCAATTAGAAAAGCTCAATTAATCCACAAGAGCCAAATGAGTTCTGTTCAAACTAATGAAACATCGCACCGTTTACTCCCTTTATACATTAATTTCTTTAGAGGTCAATTTTATGACTGTGCTCCAGTAAGGCTGTTTCAATATTCTCTCTCTCTTTTTTTTTTTTTTTTTTTAAATTGTGTTCCAGTCCCAGAGTTTAGAATGAAGTCCCAGAAGGATTAGCCCATCTTGCAATTAGTGCATGTAAAGCCACCAGAATGTCTAGTAATAACAGCTTCCAATAATAATGGATGATTATCGAAATAGAATTCTATCTCCAGGATAAATAGTGGGGAATCAATAAATTATTATTATATAAATTATTAAATCCATAGCCATAAGATGACCATAAGTTGAGTTCCTTCTCACTAATTAATTGAGGACATATGGCTATTGTTACAGTCTGCCTATTAATTTAATAATTTAATGAATAATGGATACTRCTAATACAAATTTGAACATGATGATATTCATCTTCAGTGCTGCTCCAACATTAATGAGCTTGACACTACATCAGCCTACTCCACCCTTCTGGCAAATGTCTTCATTTAGCATAATCCAGAAGAAAGTATATACTTTTAAGTCTGGTAGCTCCTTTGTTTCTGACCATTATCCATTTCATCAGGAGTTTGGCCTCACAAGAGTAGGGTGGAACAGGAGCAAAGCTGTAAAAGTGTACCATGAGAAGGGGGAAAAAAAAAAGAAAAAAAAAAAAAAAAGAAAAGAGGGAGGGAGCAAGGCTGAACTGTTTAAATACCGAAGTAAAATTTCAGATCTGCTTTAGAGAATCACTGGCTCCTGAAAGAATTACTTTATTAATCTAGTAGATGTAAGAATCTTAAGTATGATAGTAGATCTCTAGATTTGTTCTTCATATGAGACTAGAAGAGTTGTTTAAACTCTCTTAATGCCATCTTCCCGCATTTCTCAAAAACATTAAAAAAAATCAAACTTGTAGCCTCTAGGTTTTTTGAAAAGTAATATATTAAATACTATACTTTGAGAATGATTCTGCATGTTTCAATTGCCTASCAACTTTCCAATTAAACCAAGTTTAACTAAAACGTGAAAACCCCTGAATCTAAAAGAGGTCATCAGTGTTATTTCCAGTGCTACGAAAAGAACATTTTCTGGTGAAGTTAACTTCAAGATAGTTCTGTGCTGTTTGGTTTAACACACTAATTTACATCATTTAAGAGCTAACTCAAACCAAATGAACACTTTCATGTCCCTGTGACCTCCTGGTTTGTGTTATACAGAGCACAGACTGGTTCTTTCAGGCTATATTGATTATGTATTATTGCGTGGCTTAAATGATCTTGGAGAATCATATTAACTAGATAAATGGCCAAAGTACATTTAATTTAATTCACATGCTTCTCTGCAATAAAGTAACGAGATGTCAGAAAACAAGTTACATTTGAATTTTTCTCCTATCTACAGTAATTAATCACAATTTTGTATTTACTGCTAGATAGTCACAATCATAGAGTTTATGTTATCAAATGGATGAGGATGATGGAGAAAATGTACTAGCAAGAAAATTAACAGTTATAGCAGGCTTGGATCTAAATGAATAAAAAGATGAAGAAGAAGCATGAACTATCATACAATAGTAATAACTTAAATAGAATAGTTTGGTTTTATGCATTTGAACTTCCATTAGTAAATGGAGACATGTAATGGCTGCAAATGAAAAGTGATTTCGTCATACAGTGGATGTTATTAAGACTTAATATACGGTTACCTGTGCAAGGTATCTTCAGTAATAAAAATGTTACTTGTCTCTAGTTGATCTCTGACTCCAGGTCAGTGACTTCAACAAAACATTAAAGTATGTGCATCTATCTTATCAAACAAGGCAAAATTAAATATTTAGTTRTAAGGCTGTTGGAGTTTAGCATATGCTTTATTGTTTTTCTGAATAAGGATAAATTGCAAAATTCAGGTGTTTACCTTACTRCTGAAAATATTTTTGATTTGTTGAGATGTATCTAGAGCAAGATCTTCAGAATTTTACTGCCATTGTCCAGTGGCTCATGGTGGGTTTTGGGTGGTATCTGCAGATGTGGGTATTAGCATAATAATAATTTTTAAATAGCTACAATTGTGGCAATGTCAGCATGATTGGCTGTCTAGTTGCCTTGCAAGGAAAAGTCCAATTAAAGGCATTTGGTGGGAGTTTTTAATGCAGTTGTGTATCTTAGTTTGGACTGATGCACTGTGTTTGGAACTCATGGATAAAAAGGTAGAATTTTCAGGGAAGGTTGGAACAAGGTTGTGATGGTTCCACTTACTGAAAGAATACAAACTTGCATTTTTTTCAGTTTCACCTTCAAACCGAATACTCTTGCACCTGAGCTCTTGGGGAATATTAAAGCTCAGCCTGTGGTTTCTCTGGATTTAAAGAAAGGCATACTTGTATCCATGAGTGGTCTTTGCCATATTTAACCTATGCAGAGAACTGTTGGAAAGCCTGTGCTACTGGTTAGCCCTCAAAAAGTTTACTGAAGTCGAAAAGAAGTGACACATATGCTTTGTGCTGTCACTTTAAAGAAGGATGAGTTTTACCTTCTGAGCAAATTGTGGTAAATATGCAACAGAAGCTCTACCTCTAAATCAAATATGACGTATTTTAACCGCAAGGGGATTAGATTTACCAGTGTATATGCATTTTAGAATTGGAGAATGTACACTTCATGTAAAATACAGAATATATATATTCTATGTGTTTTAATAAAAGTGAGTGAGTTGGGGGAAAGGAGATAGTGATGCAGACATCCAGATATTTTAACCATGAAAGTATGAGTAGGTCGTAACATTATGATTTATTTTAATAATGGCATGGAAATAAACTTACCCTGTCATAAACTTGTGCRCAAGCTATTTTTCTCTTAAGTTAATCATAAATCACCATGTTGCTTTTATGCTTGAAAAGAAGCACCTCGTAGTACCTCAGGCTGTAACTAGGGGAAGAATGGTTTTCATCCAAAGGTCGAGACTGAATGTTACATAAATTTCCATTTTTATGCCATCGGGATGAGGATAATGCAGCACAGTATTTAGATCCAGATCACTGTTAATAGCTCTGGTGATAGAAACTCCCCTAAGGGTTAGAGACTTTAAAAAGGAAATGTCAATGCCCCACTCAGAGAGAAATAATTTTATGTGAGACCTAATAGTGATTTAAGTGACCAGGATTGGGATGTCATGATACATGTATGTGATGTATCATCCATACTACACTCACAAGTAGCATTTTTCAGGAATAGCCGAATGGAAAATACTGAGTTTTCTAACTTTGCTCATTAAGAATAATGAAATCTTGGAAAATCTTAAGAGAGTTTTGAAAAATAGTCCTTGGCTATTGTTAGCCCAGTTGRCATGCTCAGCCTTGATTTTGTTCCTCATAACCAATCTCATGTTGCTAAAAGTGAAGATCAAATAAAAATGTCATCCCTGTCTGAATGACCTGAGATGTAGCTGTAATGCAGTGAATTTTGCTTTGAAATTGATCTGGTGCTTACTTTGTGGGGTGATTTGAAAAAATACTCAAGAGGGCATGCGAAGTTGATATTTTGTCTTGCAACCTGTTAATAATATTGCTGACTCCTCTTGCCTACTGAAGGGAGAACTAGTGAATAGGTCATTACAAAAGTACATCTTTACCTCTCCTAACAAAGAATATATAGAATACTCTTGGAGTACGTGGCTTTTTTTTTTTTTTTTTTTAGAATAGTGCTGCTGTTCATTTTTAGAAATACTTTGTTTCTTCTGARGACCTTGGAAGAGCAAATAGATTCAAGAGAGTGCTGTGACACTTCTGAGCACTGCAGGTGTGAGACATATCCTTGGGGTTCACAATTTTAATATGTTAGGAACTCAAAGGGGCAGAAACATGGGAGAGAATCCATATACATTAACCCACAGTCTTTTATTTGGGAACTAGTCCCTTCAGTTATTTTTTTCTTCTATAGATATAGATTTTTTTCTTCTATTTTTTTCTTCTATGAATTTGTTTTTCATTAAGATGATTTTTTAAAAATTTTCTGTRAAGACTTGTCATTACTAACAAGCTAATAGATTACTTGCATCCTACTGGATCAGTCACAGCTGATCCCTTTCAAAACAACTCCAAATGCATAATTTTACTGGAGATAGTTTATTCTTTCTCCTAGACTGAGAATATTCTTCTTTGTCCTCTTAACCAGTGCTGCAGCTTCTCCCAGAGGAACTCTGATTAAGACCACCTGCCTGGCCAATTTACATTATTTATTTAGCTCACATACTGACAAGGAGAGGGAAAAAAAGGTCTGAGACAATATTCTGGGTCCCTTAGCAGAAAGCTTGAATGATTGAGTTACAGGTTGACTTGTATATTGTTCACCTTCAGTGATGCTGTGGAGCAGAAGTAATTTTGGGATACATCTTCATAATTCTGTTCAGGACTTAGAATGTTTCAGAATCGTGTTCCTGTTTGTCTTTGAGAGCTTCGCGAAAGCATCTGGAAATTTGCTTAAGGTATGAAATGAGTATCTGTTTTACRTGCGGGCTCTTACATACATTAAGAAAGTTTCCATAAGTGAAAATAGCCTGTACTGAACTAGGAGGTAGTGTGTAACTAAATATCTATGTTCAGTATTTTTGTTCTGTTATTTACCAGGAAAGATCTTGGTCCAAGTGAGTCACTACTGTGTTATTACACTGAGTCCTGCATAACATTATAAGGCTACAGTTCACACTTCCAATATTCACTCTGGAAAAGAGAATCTTGTAAATTCTCCTTAACAATACCTAATTAACTCTGGGCTAGGGAGTTTTGAGCCTAGATCTGTATTTCTTCCTTGACTTCTCACAGGCACATTAAATGTAAAAAAAAATAAAAATAAAAAAAAATAAAAAAAAAAATAAAAAAAAATGCTCCTCTGCATGTGGGAGCTATAGATAAATTTACAAATGAGTATCTGGGAGCAGACCTAGAAGAGGAGAAACCAGGGCCCTTTCATATTTTAATATCCTCAGTCCTGTCCTGGTGGGGCTGCTGTGATGTTCAGAACCAAGGAAGATGCCCTCACCACRGCTGCCATGGTCTTCTGCCCTAACAGTTTTACCCAGGGAAACTTGGGCTCWTTTCTGAGTTCCTCTGAATGCTGCTTCCAGAATAACAGAGTATGGTATGTGCATCACCTATGCTAAGGATCATTTCTAAAGGGTCTGAAAGGGTTTTAGCTCTGAAATTGTAACAGTAATGATCAAGACCAAAGCAGACTAACGTTGCTACTAACCATGGTGTAAAATGCTAATGGTCTATAATAGTGCTGTAATTAATACTAATAAGTGTTAATTAATGCACATCTTAAGTGATAGGAAAGAATGTGCTTTCGAAGTGCTGTGATATCAACTGTTAGGGTTTTAGTAGTGACTTGACACTGAAAATGCTCATCAAAAAAGGCATCCGAGCCTGTACAACAGTAGATGTCCTGAGGAGGAGACATTACTTTCCTGCCATGTTTAGTCAAACAAGCATCAAAATRCAAGTAGTAGTTTGCAGATCACAGAAGAAAGTCCCCCACCCTTTTTTTTTTTTCTTCTTTGAATATGTTTTGAGTAACATATTCATAATTGGTACTCCTATTCATTGTCTTTCAATTTAAGAACTATTTACAAAWAATTATGTTAAAATGTCTTTGGAATGATATGAATATATGTCAGCTATAGCATCTGTATATATATCATATATACTTACCTTGACTATAGTGGGGGTTTTTTTAAACCATTTTTATTAATAGGAAAGCTTTCTGGTAGGCATCTGTCTGCTTCCACACGAGAGCCTCTGGCCCATCTGAGCTTGCGTGCTTATTGCTTCTATGCATGCTAATTTATCTGCCTGATTTCTGCATAGAAAGAGTGTCTTCTAGCCTTCAAAAGTAAAGCTTTCTTCTACTCAGAGCTGCAACAGCCTTATGATCATGACATAGAAATTATACCATAATGTCTCCTATGGAGACAGCTAATCCAAAGCCAGTCATCACTTCGAATGATTGTTTCTGCTCATTAACAAAACCAGCTGTGAACTACATGTTTTAATCCAAATTATATGATTACATGAAGTGTGAAATTACATATATTCTGTAGCATGTAGAGTGTGAAGAAGTTTCTGCTTGAGAGTCAATGCTGTCCTTCCTGACAGGAAAGGGTGTTCTACCTGACCACAGTTTAGCTATTTATTTAGGAGTTACTCTGATACTACAGTGGACACTGATTGCCTCTCTTACCATTTGAGCAGGGCCATGGCCAATGTTAGTAGAATTTCCAAAGCAGTAGACAAAAGTCGGTTAAGTGGGAGGGATCTTTTCATTAGACCCTCTAACAACTGACTTTCTTCTGTTCCTTTGGAAAGGTTAATATTTCCTAGGAACAAGAAGAAATGGTATGATCTACCTAGATATTAGACATAGACAGTTATGAGTAGCTAAAACAACTTTTCAGCAGCTTTACAATAAAATTGTAAAGCTGCTGGGCCTGTTTTCTCTGGAGAAGAGAAGGCTCAGAGGGGATCTGATTAATGTGTATAAGTTCAGGAAGGGAGAATGCAGGGAGGAAGGGGACAAGCTGTTCTCACTGGTGGCCAGCGATAGGACGAGGGGTAATGGCCATAAGCTGAAGCACAAGAAGTTCCGTCTCCAGGTGAGGAGCAACTTCTTTACTGTKAGGGTGACAGAGCAGTGGAACAGGCTGCCCAGGGAGGTTGTGGAGTCTCCTACTCTGGAGGTCTT